CTGGTGAAGGCAATGTTATGTGCATGAAGATTTGAACGATCACAACTCATTTCTTTCAGAAAGACAAGGATTAAACAATCACCGTACTTATCATTTTTTAAATCTTATCCTCAGCATTGTGTATGCTTATGTTCTCCTTACCGATTGACTTTCAGTACTTGCTGATGGAGTTGATCAAGAAGGAATTAAAAAGCTGGAGTGAAAGCCTGCGGATTGACAACGTTCCTAAATCTCCAATAGGTTTGTGTCTGCCCCAGTTATGTGCAGTAAGCATACATTTAGTGGCATTTAAAAAAACATTATATACATGGATTGTAATCCATCAATAATTATTTTTTCTTGCGCGCAATTGGTGAAAACACGTCACGCGATGCAGCAAAAAACTTGGGAATATCCAATGATATTCTTCAATCACGTGATCAGTTTGCAAACTTTGCATTTCACGTTTGCATGAGCTAGAACTGAATGTTTTGAATTTGACATCTTAGCCAAGATCTCCCAAACAGATAGACCTTGTGTGAAAATATTTAAAGGGTAATAAACACAATAGTCTCCATTTGGCTCCAAAAATATGCACGGATATTTGTCCACAGACTTTATCTGTTTCTTGAAGCTTCCTCGGGCTTCGAGGAAAACTGTTTGGAACAGATAATGTCCACGAACAAATGTCCGTGCATATTTTCCGGCCAAATGGTGGTTAGCCGGCACTTGTTCCTCCGACTGGGATATTGCTACATTTGATATGTAACATCATGATGGCAACAAGATTATGCTGACTGGAAACAACCTCGTCCCCAAGGCCTTCTCGGTATTCAGAATGTCAGTGAGCGAAGACCCTGGCAAACACGAGGTCACTTGCCCTCCAAACAACGGTGAGCCTTCTGCCATTTTGAATTAATTAAATTCTGTAATATATTTGGAGATGTTTAAGGTCACATGATCTGGTGTTTACCAGGGTCTTCTATCGCTGCCATTTTGAATGCCGAGAAGGCCCAAGGGATGAGGTTGGACAGAAATATCAGAATAGGAAACTGTACTTTAACTAGGGTTTGTCAAAACCAGCCATACTATAGGTCGTTGTGCCATGGAGTGAAGCATTGTCATTCTTTCTCTGACTTCCGACTGATAACATGTTCGTTTTTCAGACTTCTCATTTTGGGTAGCGGCCAACATGCCTTTGGATGACAGTCTAAGACTTCAAATACTAAGCATCAACTGTCCTACTCAGAGATTGCGAAAAGAGCTTGATATCGTCCGCAAGGTGATTTAACAGATATAAATTTTTGCAATAGTATAACTCACTCACTTCGTGTCCAGAAACCTTTTCTGTCAACTTTGTGTCATACTCATATTTATTGTGTTTCTTTATTTGACGTTTTAATTTATGTACCAAAGTGTTTTTTTGTTCAAGATTACAAATATACCACCCATTCAGGGACTGTGCAATAATTACCAGGAGGGGGGATTGGAAAACCAGAGGGGGGGCATAAAGTAAAATCAAAGCAAGGAGAGAGGGGGCACTAGGTAAAATAAGTCACTCAAGAGAGGGGGGCTTAACATTTTATTTAAAGTACATATTACATTGGCGAATCCATACCTATTTATAAGGTGGGGGCCGAAATATTTTCCGGACCTGAAAATAACACACATGCCCTTTTCCTTCTGCTATGGTTCTGTTGAACATTGCTACGGAGGTGATGTTTGTTCCAGACGCGGAATTAAACATGCAGTAGGAGCTCTCCTTTCTGTTATAAGATTTTAATCCACTGGTGCGTGTAGAGAAAATGTAGCAGCGTACTTGTATAAAGGTGTGTGTATACTGTGAGGGGGGGGGGGGGGGGTCATACATAATTTCTGACTGATTAGAGGGGGGGGCAATAACTAAATTCACTCCTTTAGGAGGGGGGTATTACCTAATATTTGGCTACATGAAGCCCATTTTCCAACCCCCCCCCCCCCCCCCCCTATAATTATTGCACAGTCCCTTATCATCATACAGTGGAACCTCTAATTTGGGACACCTCCATTAAGTACCCCTCCTTTAAGGGGACACAAACTTTGTCCCGGCAAAATTAACCCTCACATAAAATCTTTGTATCTATTAAACCGCTATTAAAAGGACACTTCTGGAGCTTCCAGAGCGATCCTCATAATATTTTGCAAACTGTCCATGCCGATATCCGTAAATCTACAGCATGATACCACAGCCCTAAGGTGGCTTGACTCTTGTTTACAGCCCTTCCATTTTCTCAATGCTGGAAAAAGAAATCAGTTATCTCGCGGCTATTTTCGCGCGTTCAACGATCTGAGAAAATAGATAGGATATGAACGTCTATATACAGTCAACTCGTTATAGCGGACAGCCTCAGGGCGTATTTTCGAGTCCGTAATTGCGAGAGTCTGCAATAGCAATAGCGGGGTGTGAGAAAAAAGTGCCGTTAAATAATCAGCGTCTGGAAGGAAAAGGCACAAGCAAAGTGAAAGAGCAAAGTCCTGTACCAAGAAATCGATGCGAAAATAAACGTTCCGGAAGTCTTTGGAAATGTTATGTTCGTTAAGTTGGTACCACAAAATGTCCGTAATTCCATTATTGCGGGAGTCATTTTCAGTCAAACCTCTATAGCTTTCGCCGGGGGGCTGAATTTTGTCCGTAATAGCGGGTATCCATAATAATGGGGTGTCCGCAAGTTGACTGTAGTGTGAGACAGGTGTGAGACGGAGCTTATCTTTTTTCATTTGCAGTGTAGTGTCTTGTGCTGCCGCAACTGTGATACTAAGATCGTGGATAAAAGCGACTTGTTCAGGTAAGATGTTATTTGTTGAGCTGGAAGTAATATATATCAAACACGAGAGACAGTGTTTCATCACATTTCCAAACATCGGCAATAGATTTGAAAATACGACGTGCAGCGGAGTATTTTTGACGAAATTCGAGGTGTTTGGATAGCCGATGAAACACTGTCTCGAGTGTTTGATATATCTTCTTCTCAATCGAAACAAAAACTAGTAAACGGAGAAATAAAATCGTAAAAATCTATGCTAATTAAGACCAGCTGTATCTAAACCTCCGACACGGTTATGATTTCCTTTGTTTTAACTTGATGAATTATTGATGAGTTTGAGAATGACATGTCTGATCATTCCGCCGCCCTTTTATCATCTTGGCCATTCCTTCTTATTATGAGGTGAAATTCCCATGTATTGATTCTCAAAATTTTCTTCAAAGCCATGGCAAGTACTATATAGTCTTCATATACATTCAAATTCCCAGCACTACAAAGTGTTTTAATGCAGTGGTTATTCCTCCTCAGTATGTCATTGGATGGTCCGTTAGGTGCATATGTGAATCCTAATGGCTGGGTGCACGAGGCGCTCACGTTTTACCAAGCCACTGGCATCAGACTGAGAGGGAAACCAACAGCAGAAAACAGCTGGTTCCCTGGGTAAGTAACTACAGTGAAACTTCCATTAAGGGGACGCCCTCGGGACAAGGAGAAGTGTCCCCTTAATAGCTAGAGGAGGTAATAGACTACAAAGATGATATGAGCGTTAATTTTGCCGGGACAAAAGGCTGTGACGATAATTTAAGCCATTTTTGGCAAGTGCAAAATCACCTTCAAATTGAAGAAAGCCTCAAAATAATAATTTGCTAAGGTAGAAAAACACCAAAGCGGTAATAATACACCAAACAGGAACAAGGATGGTTGAGGATGGAGAAGATTAAGACGGATTGTGAAAGACGAACTTGAAAAAATTGGCCATTTTTTTCAAGACGCGCCATCCGTGACGTAGCTCCTTTAATGGAGGTGTCCCAAAGTAGAGGTTCCACTGCACACGTGGTACGCAAATGACTTGGCCATGTCTCAGGTCTTATCCGGTAACTGTGAATATGTCGTTGAAGAAGCAAGCTTAGTTTGGTTCCCCTTGTTATAACTGCGCAGTTTTTCTCAGGGTTCCGTAGTTTCCCCCTACATTTACATGGGGCAAGTACCTTTTGTGATAAGAATCAATTTGAAAGCGTCAGTGCATGATTGTTCATTAAGCGATCACTCGCTCTCGACCTGACCTGATATCAGTTCAAGGCAGATTATGAGAGATTATGAGCGAAACAGACTCAGTGCCGCTTACGGACGCCATTTGTTTCCATTTTAATAAGGTACGCCTGGACCATAGCTGAGTGTGCACGGTGTACTGACCACCTTGGATGGCGCTTTACTGCCGTCAAAAGAGGTCTGTCGCCCAGTAAGTTTTGGGGTCTTACACGGGCGTCTCTCAGACCCACTTTACGTTACGATGAAGATGACGATACTGCGCGTCTACCTCGTCGTCACCGTAATATCCACCCAGAGGTATTGGCAAAGTAGTGATTACAGCCGTTATTTGTGTCGTCGCGCAACGCTTGTCCCCACTGTTGCGTGACGACCCAAATAATAACGCTGCGAAGGAGACAACAAAGAAGTGCATTGTTGAACACTGGAAGCCTACAGCTGCGGACAACGTCATTTGGTCATGAAAGTAATGAGGATAGAAAACAACAACAACAAATTATTGGGTGATCACAATAGTCCCTTTGCATAATACGGTCACATGACCATGTCAATCATAAAAATAGGTGGTAGTACAAAATGGTTGCCAGAAATGGAAAGCCAGCATTATGAAATTAGTAAGGTTGCCAATTTTGAGACCGTTGTTGCTTACGCCTTGCCATCCAGCATACAAATCCTTTCAATTTTTCAAACTTTCAAACTACCATAAAATCTCACGCTTAAGCATTTTGTACTACCACCTATTTTTATGATTGACAAGGTCATGTGACCGTATTATGCAAAGGGCCTATTACTGGAGTACCCAGTTATTTTCATTGTGGCCCACGAAACAAATACTTTAAAAAACTCAACATAGATAACAATCACAACTGGCAGGAGGCTGACCAGTTGGCCTTGTACAAGACGAGTGGCCGAAGAGTTTAACTCGAGACTACCACGAACAAATCCAGATAGTGGCAGAATGAAGGGCTTGAACCCGGAACCACCGGATTACAACACCAGCGCCCTAAACCACTCGGCCACACTGCCTCCTTAGGTGCTTGAACTGTAAATCTCAGAACGCTTTGTTTAGAAGAGTTCGGTAACAATTGGACGATAGTGTTTGTGGACAAAGAGAACGAAAAAATCCAATAGCAAAAGCTGTACAGAAGGAGAGAAGGAGTATAAATGGTGATTGAATGTTTGATACAGTAGCACCGCTGGACCGCACAATATTCCTTTCATCTTCAGACAAGACACAAGATTCACGTGAACAATCCATAGAAACAAAATAACGACACCTCATTTGAAGAACTATATGAAGAATAATTTCCAAGCCACGAAAGACACATACATAGTCTCAAAAGAAAAACGTTCCGGGGAAGACCTACTGTGGGTTTATTTTCATTCATTTGAAGAACGTTTCAGAGAAAAGTCACAAGCTCCACTGTCTGCTTAATATATTCAAGGTCTGGTTTCTCTCTTTGCCTGGTTAAGGCTGACTCGTCTCCAGTCGTCTCTCTTGTCTCCTATTAATATTAAGCGCGGCCGAGGGGAGCGCAAGGGGTGATGGGAAGGAGGAAAGGCGGGAGAAAAGAAATAATCGAAGAAAAACGGCCTCGCACAACTTTTCGACTCACAGTCTCCCAGTCGTTTCTCTTCCTCGCTTTCTTCCTTCCCAGCATCCCCCGCGTCTTGCGACTCCCAACAAAGGAGACAAGAGCAAGAGAGACGACTGGGGACGAGTCAGGGGTTAAGGTTACTGGCTACAATACGCGAGTGTTTTAAAAGGTTAATATATAACCAGATTTTCAAGGCGTGTGAGATTTTTAGTTATCTTGTGTGGCACCTGTGCGGTCTCCTTGTGGTTAGTGCTTTGCATTCCGGATCGTGAGGTCTGGGTTCTAGCGCTGGCCAGGGTTGTTGTGCTGTGTTCCTGGGCAGACACACTTAAATCTCACAGTGCCTCTCTCCACCCAGGAGTATAAATGGGTACTGGCGAACTGTTAGGGCAACCTGACAAAAATGCTGGGGGTGACCTTCTCCCAGCTGCTTCATGCATTCTTAAAGGACTGAGCTATGTCACGATATTTTAAGTCATTTTTTCGAAGTGCAAAACCACCTTCAAATTGAAGAAAGCCTTTAACAAAATAATAGTTTACTAAGGTAGAAAAAAACCAAAGAGGTAATAATAAACCAAACAGGAACAAAGATGGTTGAGGATGGAGAAGATTAAGACGGATTACGAACGACGGACGAAGCACCTTAAGCCATTTACCTCTTCAAGTAAGTAGTCTAATCTCGAATAAAATCGATGTCGTTTAAGATATTGAACTAGATAATGTTGTAAATAGAATAGATATTATTTATTCCGAAGTAAGGCAGAGGATGATTTATTCCAGTTCCGTTGAGAAAGCCGGCGACCAGAGGATTTTAACAGTATTTTATTGTAAAAGTAGCCGTCTTGGATTCACTCTGTAATAGAAGCCTCATCTGCAAATGATTAATCAGCACCATGCAGATATGCCAAATTGCAAATTAAATTTGCACTTGTATAGTATATTGTAAGTAAGTAACAAAAAGAACAAGAAAAAATTGTCACGATTCTAATTAGTTACGTGTTCTTCTTTGTGTTATTTATTGTGTGTATGTGCGCCGACTTCTAACCAATCAGAGCAAACATAATTATCTTACGCGCGTTTTCTCGCGCTTGGCACCGGTTGCTCGTTTTCCCGCGCTTGGCACCGGTTGCATGTTTATACTTTGATTATTCTGATTGGTTCGCCGGCCAGATGTGGTTTCCTAGATTTTCGGTTTTCAACAGTCGTTACAACCCCCCCCCCCCCCCCCCCCCCCCGTTCTAATCGAGAGAGAATACAGATTAATCTCGGGATTCGTTGTAGTTGTACACGTTTGGGAGTCTGTAAAGGAGTAAAGGACACGAGGGGTCATGTTGCAGGGACATGTCGCAGCGATATGTAGCAACGACAAGATTTTCTTGTGTGTGCAAACACTATGATTTTGTCCCTGCAACATGTCCTTGCTACATGGCCCTCTGTGTGTACTGCACGTGATCTTGTCGCTGCTACATGTCGCTGCGACGTGGCCCTGCAACCCCGGGGGGGGGGGGTACTCCCTTATATAAGCTATATAGGTATGTGCCGCCCCAAAGGGTATGGTTTTTGAGCCGTTTTGGTCTGAAATAGGGTATGTTTTGTGCTCTCTGGTCTGGAATTTGGTTTGGCTTTTAGACGAAACTGGGGTTTTTTCATTAACATTGGGTAATTTGAAGCCCTTTTCAAATGTTTGCGCAAATGGAACCCATTCCTGGGTAGCTGAAGTCATGTATTAGACACGTGTACTAATTTTATAGGTCTGAAATAGGGTATCAATTTTTGGGTCAGGTCTGAAATAGGGTATGGAAAATCACATATTTTGGTCTGAAATAGGGTAAGGGTTTCAAGAAGCAGGCCGCACACCCCACCAAAATTTCAGCGAGTACCACCCCCCTCCCCCCGGCCTGCAACATGACCCCTCGTGTACGGGAACCTTAAGGGTTATTTGTTGCTTCAGGAACGTATTACGCAATGGGATAGAATTGGATGAGTTGAGCATTCCAATAAAATGTAGAGGATAACGTTTCCAATCGTCAGAATTTTATTATTCATCACATGAATATGAAGACTTATACTAAATGAACGATTTCAACGGTAAAATATTTGTCTATAGCAATACGAATCTTTGTAGTCCATAAAAATATCGGTATGCGTCACTTAAGACTTTATAGATACTGAAAGAAAAATCGCATAATGTCCCTTCGAGTTGTTAAAAGGATAAACAGTTCGTCTAGTGTGATCGTACGGGTGACTGACTGTTGGTGACTGGCGTTTCGACAACCTGAGTGGAGGCCATCTCCAGTCCTTTTCAGGATTACCCTCACCCGGGACTACCCTCACCCAGACGATCACACTAGACGAGCTAATGATACTCCTGGGTTCAAACCATTTACAAATATTAACAGTTCAACTGGTAACACATGAGTTCAAAGGGTGTGGATACTCTCTTATACGAGTTATATCGAACTTATACAGGTTGGTCTTTGTTCAAATTTAATATTCAAATTCATTCTTTTAGTTTTTCTTTGACATTTTGTCACGGAAGCGTTTTGCATTGAGAAAATCACGCGATTCAGCGATCACGAATGGGATAAAATTTCCCTTCCGGTGTAAGGTGGGGTAGCTGGTGAGTAACCCGCACCCCCCTGATCCCCAACCTCCTCAGATTTCAACTAACAACTTGTTGAGGCTGAACAATAAATTGACTTTTTTCCTCTAACGTAGAGTTATCATGAGATGATCTAGGAGAAGGATTCCCCGTGCCCCATGATAATTTCTTGAAATGTATTAATAGTTTCGCGCCATGCTTGTTGTGAAAGTTATTTTTATCTCCTTCTGGTCAAGGCTCCGACATCACTTTTTTCGAACTGACCAATTGAGGTAGCGCTCTTAAAATAACTCAATTAATTTAAATCCTGACGAAATCCACGCCAGCTTTGGTTTTATTTTATAGTAAAATACCGGTTAATTCTTCCATAACGTTTTCCGTGGTCAGTTCATTGAGTCCAGCTCTCCATTTTCGTGCATCACGTGACCCTCACTACCTTTGTACCCAATATTTCCAATAATCTGAAAACTACGTTATTTTGCACTCCTCAAAGTGTATGTCATTCAGTCTTTTTTCGGAGAGGTACTTTTTTAATAGCACGTCACCAAATGCGAAGTAAAACCTACAGCTTCTAGTAAAAATATTTATATCTTCTGTAAAAAAGTAGTCAAATAACGACGTTTCCCTTAGGAACCAGCCATGGTTTTCTCTTTAGTATCTTGGAATACAAATATTCCTCCATGATCTTCAAGATCAGTGATAACAAGTCACTGAAAAAATGTAATTATCCAAAACACCAACCTCGTTCCCAGGGTCTACTCCGCTTTCAAGATGGCGGCGGAGTAGACTCTGGGAACGAGGTTGCCAAAACACTTTCGCTGAAAACTTATAGTCTCTTTTATCGTCACACGTCGACATGATCCGTTGTTCGTGGGAAGCGAAAGGAATGCATGTTATTATTTTTCGTGGGCGGTAAAGGACTCGTACTCGAGGATGACTCAGCAGAATATCTGCTGAACGTCTTTATCGAATCACGAACGTCTCTAAGGTCGGTCTTCATTTTGCGGTAAATTTGATCAAGAGAATTCTCGAGCGATTCCACCTTGCCATGGAGAGCTTCAGGGGGGATGTCACCGCGGTCTATGGGGTCACTCTCTAACCTTGACCGGAAGGCCGGAAACGTGACGCGACTGTTCTCGCCCGACTCGTGTAATTTACCGTATGACGAGTGATTGTTGTGGCCACTGGAGAACTTGTCCACCTGATTGTATGCTAATGAGAGGTGTTGGAGTTGGCCTGGATTGGAATGGCCTGGGTGCGAGTTGGTACACTTGGGAGATGGGGGTGCCTGGGATTGCCCTGCGTTTGAAGGCCGCCATGAGTCAACAAACACCGCCTGTACTTTTCTGTTTTTATCCCTCTGGGGTGGTGGTTCTTCCTGTAAATCATACAAATAAATATAACCAAGGAATGTAACTGACATCGCGGTAGTCATAACAAGACACTCTTCATACAGTAAAAAACCCGCGCATAAGAACCCCTATTTTTACAAGGCAGGCTGAAGTGGTTCTTATATATTGGATGTCTAGTGAGAAATCAGGCTGTTTTGATTCTTAAATAGGTTCTTTAAAAAGTTGTTATTTTTGACAGTACTGCTTACTGCTGGCCATAAAAGTAATTAAATATGGGTGTATCCGCTTAACACAAGGAGAGTTCATATTCCAACTCTGCCGGATACTTTGGAACTACCAGAGAACTTACAGTTGGAGTGTATATGTATTTAATCAGTAGATAGGCAATCAGATTTATACTGTACAGTGTGATTATGGACCTCCAAAGCACATTTTGGTCTAAGCCTGTGTTTTGTGAGTTTTACTATTTTTTCC